ACACACACACACACACACACACACACACACACACACACACACACACACGCTTGCCTGAGCGTATATGCACTGAATGCATGCAGGATTCCAGAAAGGTTAGAAGGGGACATTGCATTTCCTGGAACTGGAGTTACAGATGGTTATGAGCCAGTATGTGGGTTCTGGAAGCAGATCTGCAAGTGTTCTTCACTGATGAGCCTTTCTCACATCCTTCTTCATAAGTGTCAATATTTGTATATATTCTCTAACCTCTTTGAAACTTTCCTTTAGTGTGAGCATTGCTTGCCTTGTCAAGTTTCGTTTCATGATTATGGATCAAATGTGGTACTCATTTGTGAGGCCCTAGAATACTGATGACTGGACCTATTCTTCTAGATCTACTTCCAGGACTTGGACTCCCACACACACTCACAAATTAAAAAAAAAACTTAAGAAATATACTTATAGAGGAAGTAGCTGATTGTAACTGAAAGTACTGAAGAAAGGTTTTGTGGAAGAGGGAGAACCTCCCCCCATGCTCTCTGTCATCTTATGAGTAAAAAAATAAATAAATAAAAATTTCCAGAAGACAGCAACAATGAAATTCTAGTCTACAGACTCACAAGTTGCATGAAACAGTTACCCAGGACAAACACCCAGTCTCTCTGTGCCACTACCAATCAGTCTGGGAAAGGAAGGAAACATATAAAACTCCTATTCTGTGAGGAATAGAATATTGAGCACCTTCTGTTCCAAAATCCAAAGTACCCTCTCAGTCTACTAATAGTTGAAGCCCAGAGAACGACAGAGTCATGTGGACAACTGGTAGTGCTGGTCTGAACTGGACCTCAGGAGAACAAGTGTTCTTAAGCCCAAACCACTGACACAGGCATCCCAAGTCCTGGTGAGAAGAGAATTTCTACTTGGCACAAGAAATACACGCTTGGGTTTGGCTACATCAGAAGCTCAAATGTTGAGAGAGACATTTGAAAAAGTTGGAACACATAGAACAAGTTGAAGAGGGCAGATAGCTGGATGACAAGGGATTGAAGTGATGCCCCATACTGCAGGTTGGAAAATTCTCAAGTGAGCATTTTCCAACACCTCCTGATACTAGGATAGTGACTCAAGCTAAGAAGTAACTTGTGAAAACACCACTGAGACACTGCAAACTAGCCAAACAAGTTTGAATAGGAGACATAGGTGGCCAGCTCTCACACCACCAGAGTTAAATCTAAGACAACTCATGGAGGGGAATAGATATTAATTAATGTTATAATATTTGTGTTTTTATTTCCTGTAGGTATTCTTTTAAACCTTCCTGATTGCATGCTGTCTTAGTTTTCTTTCTATTGCTAGAATAAACTCCATGACCACAAGCAACGTAAAAAGGAAAGGCAATTGGCTTAGTGATAACTTTTGGTTCATCATGAAGAGAGTTTAGGGCAGGACTCCAAGGCAGTAAGCAACTCAAACAGAGGCCCTGATAGAATGTTGCTTACTGATTTGCTCTTCATGGTTTGATCAACCTGATTTCTTATGAAACTACCATCCCCAATTGACTGTGCCTTTCCACATCAATCACTAGTCATAAAATACCACACAGACTTGTTTGCTTCCCAATCTGACAGAGGCATTTTCTCAACTCAGATTTTCTCTTTCCAGATGATGCTGGACTACGTAGAGTTGACAAAAACTATCTAACATACACACATTTTCATTTTGCTTCTGTTTTTTAAAAGTACTGCTTAGTCAGATTTTACGATGATTCTGCATTTGCATCTGTTCTATTGTGTTCTCTCTCCTATATTTTCATCTACAACCCAAATGCTTTGTCTCTCCAGCCTCCTTCTCTTTTTCTTTCTTTCTTATACCCTCTTCACATACTTCTTGATTATGACTTATCGTTATATTTAATAATCTTAAACTCAACTCACCTCACAATATCCCAGCTTCTCTGTGTTGGTTACTTTTCTGTCAATTTGACACAAGCTAGTATCATCTAGAAAGAGGAATCCTTACTTGAGAAAATGCCTCCATCAGATAAGCTTACGGGCAAGTCTATGCGTGGATTCTTTAAAAAAAATAATGATTAACTTGTGATGGCCCAGCTCTCTGAAGGGAGTGGTCCTGGACTGGATAAGAAAGCAGTCAGAAAAAAAAACATTGGGAGCAAGGAAGCAGGTAACACTTCTACAGTTCTTGCCTCCAGGATCCTGCCTTGAATTCTTGCCCTATTTTTCCAGATAGATTGTAAGCTATAAGCTGAAATTAAACCTTTCCTTTTCAAGTTTCTTTTTGTGAGAGTTCTTTATCCTAGCAATAGAAAGCAAACTAAGACATCCCCTCCTCCTATTAACTTTTTTCTTATCTATTTTTTGCTACTGTTTTTTATAATAGTTCACAGTGTTAATCAGATTATTTTCTGTCTAGTCTTGCATCTAGTAACAATATCCTAGCAATACTCCCTTACTATCCTGTTTCTTATTCTCTAAAAGTTACTGGAGTTGAAGAAAGTGATTGTTTTTAATTTACTATTATTATATTTTCTTAGAGAATTTATTATAAATTATAGTGGATTTTGAAATTAATACTCTACTTCCAATGAGGTTCTAGAGACCGTATTTAGTACCCAAAGATTCTAGCTACTAACTAAATCCTGGGACAAAACTCAACTCCAATAGGACCTAACTACATTTAAACCATGCAAATATTTCAATACTGAAAAGCAATGTGTTATTTTATTTTTAATTCAATCAGTGACCTAACCTAAGACATGTAAGTCCCAATGCAAATACACAAGTGGGAAGATGAACCAATTAAATCACATTTACCTATCACAACATTTGACAAGTAGGCTTTAAGCTAAATAGTCAAAATAGATTTTAAAAAAAAGGCAACTTCATGCTGTACAGGGACAGTTCATCAGGGAAATAGTACAATTCTAAGTTTGTGTGCTAAACACACACATGATTGGTTACATAAAACTAACACTGCTGGAAAGTACAGACAATAGCGGATGATGACAGTAACCCAGTTTTCTCAGCAGATTGGCCATCATCAGACAAACATCATCAAAGAAACATCATACTTAAATAACATTATAGATCAAATGGAATGATCAAATATCTACAGAATATGCTACCCAAGGACTGTGGAATACTCATTGCTCTCAGAAGTTCAGGTAATGCTGTATAAAATAGGCCATATTTTAGGACACAAAGCTGCTCTTAACAAATACAAGAAAATTGAATTTCTTATATTCTACCTAAAAGCATTGTAGTAAAACAAGAAATCATCAGCAAGGAGAATTATAGAAAATGTAAAAAGCCATGGAGACAGAATAATACAGAATTGAATGATGAATAAACACTAAGGAAATTAAGGGAAGAATTTTCAAAGTTCTTAGAAATGAATGGTAATGAAAAATGCAGCATTTTAGAGCCTGTAGAATACAACAAAAGCAGTTCTAAGAGGGAGGCATATTAGAATAAAAATCTTAGAGCAAGAGAAATATAACTAAATACTAATGGATTACTTTGGGGTCTTAGAAAAATAAGTGCAAGATCAGTCCAAATTAGAAGATGTAAAGAACTCAGTGCAATGGAAAATAAAAAACAAAACAAAAAATCATTTGAACAAACAGCTGCTTTTGAAAAAAATTAAATTGAGACAGTCTTAGTAAAACTAATGAAAAGAAAGGGAGAAGATGAAATTTCATAAAATTAAGTGATGAAAGGGAAATTTTGCAACATATATGAATGAAATTCAGAAGTGTACTTTGAAAATCTATTTCTCAAAAACTTGTAAAATCTCAAAAAGAGATGGGTAAATTTCTAGACACACATGACTTACCAAAATTAAATCAACAGGATGTAAATGAGAACTAGTAATAAAAGGAAAAGGTTTTATGAAAGATGTTTTGAACAGCTTAAACAGATATATAGATAATTGGATATGCTACTACATGCTTTTAAACTCAAACCTCTGGAGCCAGAGGCTGATGATCACTGTGAGTTCAAAGACAACCTGGTTTACACAGAATCATGCCAGGAAGGTTTACATAGAGAAATAAAAAAATCTCTCTTGAAGTCTAATAGACCTTCAAAGAAATAACAGCAGTACTCCTTACATTATTCCATCAAATAGACAGGGAAGGGGGATACTAAACTCAGTTTGTGGAATCAGGTTTATTTTGCTATCAAAACAAAGTAAGAACACATTTATAGGTCAATCTCAGTGATGA